TATCACACAGTTATACTAGGTTACCACACAGTGGTTACCAAGCAACCTGTAGTACAGTGTTGGTGGTATGATTGATAATTGTGTGTTCTTTGAAAATCTTGATTAATACTCAATGTGAATAAATGTTGTTGATAAATTTCATGTCTTAAAAATATGATTTTTGGCCGAGGTGTCCGGACTCTAGGGTCATCCAAGGTCATGGCTGTTCAACTAAGTTCACTCTCACAGGCCAGTATTTTGAAAATAGGGATCGTCACGGGCCAGACGTCTAAGCCGCAGCATAGACAGATCATCTTGAACAGGACTGCACTGCAGAAGTGGATGAACAACCAGAACTTTCCACCAGAGTTCACAGCTGGTGAATGTGAAGAAGAAGAAGATTAATATAATACAACTTGCAGTGATCCGTGGGCCACTTGTTAAGCCTCCGCAGGCCAGCTCTGGCCAACGGGCTGCCAGTTGAATTGCTTTGTCTAAGAGCATAGCTGTTCGACTACTTTTACTCAGGAAGCCAGTATTTGGAAAATAAGGATCATTATGGACCATAAGCCCGAGCGCCCGCAAGGAAAGATCATTAATCAAACAACTGAAAATAATCTGCGGGCCACTTGCTAAGTCCTTGTGGGCCAGATCTGGCCCACGGGCCCTCAGTTGAATAGCCCTGCCCTGTTGTAATGATCTGCGGGCCTCTTGCTAAGTCTCTGCGGGCCAGATCTGGCCCACGGGCCCTCAGTTGAATAGCCCTGCCCTGTTGTAATGATCTGCGGGCCACTTGCTAAGTCTCTGCTGGCCAGAAATGGCCCAAGAGCCCTCAGTTGAATAGCCCTGCCCTGTTGTAATGATCTGCGGGCCACTTGCTAAGTCTCTGCTGGCCAGATCTGGCCCACGGGCCCTCAGTTGAATAGCCCTGCCCTTTTGTAATGATCTGCGGGCCACTTGCTAAGTCTCTGCTGGCCAGATCTGGCCCAAGAGCCCTCAGTTGAATAGCCCTGCCCTGTTGAAACAAATAAATACATTGTATGTTCTTTTGAACGAAAAGAGTTAATTGTTAATAATTATTTATACCTTACTGGCTCTTGAATATGCAGTTTTTGTGTTTGCTTGCATGGTGCTTTTGACAAAGATTCTATTTATTCTTTTACTGGTACCACATTGAGTTTCAGGCAGTTAGAAAACTGTTTTGTTTGATTAAAATACATAGCTGTTCAACCTGTTTGATGCACTTACTTATTGCAACTTAAGCTTTACCTTAATAACTTTCTCAGCATTAACTACTTGTGTCTGGTATGAAAGTTCACATTTGTTGAATATAGGGGTGATATGATAGTTCACATTTGTTGAATGTAGTGGTGATATGATAGTTCACATTGGCTGAATAGAGGGGTGATATGAAAGTTCACATTTGTTGAATATAGGGGTGATATGATAGTTCACATTTGTTGACTATAAGGGTAATATGATAGTTCACATTTGTTGAATATAGTGGTGATATGATAGTTCACATTGGTTGAATAGAGGGGTGATATGAAAGTTCACATTTGTTGATTATAAGGGTGATATGATAGTTCACATTTGTTGACTATAAGGGTGATATAATAGTTCACATTTGTTGAATATAGTGGTGAAATGATAGTTCACATTGGTTGAATAGAGGGGTGATATGATAGTTCACATTTGTTGAATATAGTGGTGATATGATAGTTCACATTGGTTGAATAGAGGCGTTATATGATAGTTCACATTTGTTGAATATAGTGGTGAAATGATAGTTCACATTGGTTGAATAGAGGGGTGATATGATAGTTCACATTTGTTGAATATAGTGGTGATATGATAGTTCACATTGGTTGAATAGAGGCGTTATATGATAGTTCACATTTGTTGAATATAGTGGTGATATGATAGTTCACATTGGTTGAATAGAGGCGTTATATGATAGTTCACATTTGTCAAATATAGCAGTGACTGTGCACATTACCTTGTGTGTAAATTTGCTGTTGTAATTTTGTGTAATCTGAGTGTTTGCAGCTTTGTTCAATGTGGATGTTTGTATGTGTTTGTGTGTTAACTGAATGTTTATAATTTTTGTGTGAGTTGAACATTTATAGTTTTTATGTCAACTGAATACTTGTAGTTATTATGCATGCCTATTATTGTATGAACTGGTTCATTTTTTAAGGTACTTTGCTTGTTTCCCAAGAGATCATTATGAGCATTGTGTGTGGTTTTTGCTGTTATAGGAACGTTGTAAATGTGGTATGACCATTTGAGGTAATGCTGGAACTGCAACTGCCTTGTCACCTGAAAGATGTAATAAGAGGCATTTAAGGAGAGCTGGCATGTGAGTGTCTTCCCCAGCACAAAGCAAACTCTGTCATGAATTTGTCTGTAAAAGATAAGAAAATTAACTCAGTCAACCAGACTAAAAAGAAGTAATACAAGAATTACCACACAATGCAAGGAAAGCCAAAGGAGTCTGGATTGCTGTCCTGCCCTATTTTACCTGAGTTCATTGTTCCTCAATTATCGTGCTGCTGGTGGTAGAAGCAAAAGCTCCACTGTGTTCTTTGATGACTTTTCCTTTAGTCCTTACAGTGAAAGCCCATGCAAGGCATCTTCCGGTGATGTGTGTTCCTAAACCAGTGCTTTCACTTCTGCATCAACTATTTTTGGTGCCAAATCGTCTTGACAGGGGGAGACCACCACAAAGTACTGCTTGCATTCATTGGGTATGGATATCTATTCCTCTCCATGTCTTGAAGGGAAATCGTCAGTTGAAATACTGTCTCAGCACGGCCCAACTAGGACTGGCCTCATTTGATCTCCAGAGTTGGTACCGGAAATGTTAGAACTATTTGAGAAAGATGGCATAAGTGATCAAATAAATTGTATATTTTAAGTGAAAATAAATTATATATTTTGAGTGGACTTGCTCACCCATATTGACCTAGCCATGAAATTGTTTCCAAGAAATATTCTTGCAATGGCTGTTGTAGTGATAGTAACTGTATCACACATAAAGTGGTATTTGATTGATAACAATATGTAGCTTTATAAGTATTAAATATTTATGTGTGTGTGTGTGTGAATTAAATATCTGTGCTGGATATGGTTTTGAATTTTCTAAGGAAGATTTAGATATTTTGTAGTTTTGTGTAAATTAGATATTTGCAAATGTGCAGTTGTAAATTACATACTATTTACAGTTTTATGTGAATTAGATATTTGCAGCTGTGTGTAAATTAATACTGTTTGTGTGAATTAGGTATTTGCAACTTAGAATTCATTAGATATTTATAGCTTTCTGTAGATTAAGTATGTCATGTTTTGCAGGTAGCAGCTTATATTAGAGATTTTAACATAACTTACCACTCACACGCGCACACATGCACGCACACAAACACAAATTGAAAGGTCACTTTCAGATTTTAGATCTTTTCAACTAAGCATGTGTTTTTTTTTTTAAACACTTAACTTGAACACTCAGCCAAAACATTTTTGCTGCATTTTGTTGCCTGCGTAAAGGTTCTTGATCAACTGACAATAAAGGAATCTTTGTTAAGTGTGTATATTGATGTAGAGAAACCAACAGTGTCGTAGAACAAAGCAGACCCGGGCATTCAAGGTATATCCAAGTGGCATTTCTTCTTCTTCTTTGCCGTCACCAGCTGTAAACTCTGGTGGAAAGTTCTGGTTGTTCATCCACTTCTGGACTGCAGTCCTGTTCCAAAACCTGAGTGTAGCGTGTGCATCTGTTTTACAGAACTGACTCATTCGTGTGCAGACTGCTGGTTCCTTGCCTCTCAGGCAGATGCACTCCGACTTCGAAAGAAGCTCCCCATTAGTTGACTCTTACGACATGCTTTTGGGTAGGCAGTGGGTCTATTCTTGTTTTCCCTATAATAGGGCCCCGGAACCCACACGGGGAAGACAAGTGGCCTTTGAATTGTTTCTTTAAAAATAAGCAGTTCAACTGCACTGAACATAAACAGCTACACAAGGTCAGTTCTACAAGTGTCCTACCTGTGGTCAGTAATAATACAGTGACTAACCCTAATTCCCTTCTTCCTCTGCTGCATTTGCCCCTTAAAGAGATGTTTAGTACATTGTGTTGTGGTTTACAGCTAGGCTGTGATATCTGCGCCTTTCAGTCCAACCCATCCGATTCCAGCAAAGCCCTAATTAATTGACTTTTATGACTGGCTTTTTTGGGAGAAGGGGATCTGTTCTTCCCCCTTTCCACCATCCCAATCCCTTCATGGAGACTCTGAGCCCACCCGCACAAGGATAATTTCCTTCAGAACAGTTTCCTTGGGACTGCACACGCTTCTTCCAATGATTCTGATTTTGTTAACAGCAGTTCAGTCAGGCTTTTTGAGAAAGAAGTACATCGTAGTTGTCATTTTCTGCCCAGTCTCTTCTCTGTTCTTAAATCATGTCTCTTTCAGCAGCATTTTTTAGCTTGGGGAACAGCCAGACATCACAAGGAGCCATGTTGGGAGAGTGTGGAGCCATGTCAGGAGATTGTGGAGCCATGTCAGGAGAGTGTGGAGCCATGTCAGGAGAGTGTGGAGCCATGTCGGGAGAGTGTGGAGCCATGCCAGGAGAGTGTGGAGCCATGCCAGGAGAGTGTGGAACCATGCCAGGAGAGTGTGGAGCTATGTCGGGAGAGTGTGGAGCCATGTCAGGAGAGTGTGGAGCCATGTCGGGAGAGTGAAGCCATGTCAGGAGAGTGTGGAGCTATGTCGGGAGAGTGTGGAGCCATGTCAGGAGAGTGTGGAGCCATGTCGGGAGAGTGAAGCCATGTCAGGAGAGTGTGGAGCCATGTCAGGAGAGTGAAGCCATGTCAGGAGAGTGTGCCATGTCAGGAGAGTGTGGAGCTCATGTCGGGAGAGTGTGGAGCCATGTCGGGAGAGTGTGGAGCCATGTCAGGAGAGTGTGAAGCCATGTCAGCAAAGTATGGAGCCATGTTCGGAGAGAGTGGAGCCATGTCAGGAGAGTGTGGAGCCATGTCAGGATAGAGTGGAGCCATGTCAGGAGAGAGTGGAGCCATGTCAGGAGAGAGTGGAGCCATGTCAGGAGAGAGTGGAGCCATGTCAGGAGAGTGTGGAGCCATGTCAGGAGAGTGTGGAGCCATGACAGGAGAGAGTGGAGCCATGTCAGGGGAGTGTGGTGCCTGATGAAATTAAAGATTGTTGTGTTGAGCTAAGAAAATCTGAAACAAGTGGGAAAAATCTTCTTCTTCTCTTGTCCTACTGTTTTTGCCATAAAGCGTCACAGAGAGGAGTTGGATGTTATTTCCTGTCTTTTGCTAGTTGCGTAGTTTATGAATGTCATGTTTCTGATGTGTCTTTTTTACTCCCTTCACCCATCTCTTTCTTGGTCGAGCTCTAGCCTTGTAGTCTGCTGTTCTCATGTAGTACCATCTAGATGCTGGCTGATTTTGTTTCATTCTGACCGGATAACCAAACCATTTGATTCTTTGATGTTTTATGGAAGCATTTACCCATGCTGTGCCTTTTTTCAGTTCTTCGTTTGTGACTCTGTTTCTTCTAGGGGTTTTTCTCTGCCACATTTCTTATACATCTCAACTCATATGTAATTTTGCATTTGTGTTTGTCTAGGACTGTCCATGTCTGGCACTGATAGCACAGAGTTGGTTGGTAAGCATATAGCTTGTATCAGCTGTGAAGAATCTGGGAGTGCAATATCCTGATGTAGCTGCCAAGTTTCTGTTGCCCACATGGTCAGTTTTTTGCATTGCTTAACATGATGAAGGCAACAGATGTCCTTAAGGTTGTATTCTTCAGTAACGTTGTGGCCTGGGGGTGTGTGCTTGTGTTGCATCATCTCAAGGGATTCAAAAGAAAATATTCTTCTTTTGTGTTTGCCTTTAAAAAGGTGATTGGCGCATTGTGCTTTGGTCTGCAACAAGGCTGCAATATCTACACCTTTTTGACCCAAATCTTATTTAAGAAAATCTCAGATTAGTCGCCTCTTAAAACAAAATTATTGTTAGGAGACAGTGTAGTCTTTTCTCCTCTCTCCCCCAAAACTGGGGTCCCAGAACCCCCACAGGAAGTCACGAAGGATCAGCCTGACTTTGACATTTCTGCATACCTTCTTTACTTTCCCTGACTCGGGGTTATTGAATGTTTCCACTGTGATGATTGCACTCACGTTTCCGAGTTGTACCCACAAAAGCCAGGTCTTATCACCAAGGATTTGAACTTGGTTATTCTATATGAGAGCTATTCAGCCAGCTGCTGTTCTGACTTTGCAACAACAACAACAAAAACTTCAGTTGCTCACTTCAGGGTTCCTCATACTCTACTTACAGCTGGACACCTCCAGTCCCATGCTTACTTTGTTTCCGTAACTAGTGAATAAATGTTGACAACTTTTGGAACCGGCTTTGCATTATATGAAGATTTTTATAGCAAAATATGAATTAAATATTAGTTTGAATGTGTGTGAATAAGCTATTTGTAGTTGTGTGTGATGTAGATATTTCTGCCTTATGTAAACTAGACATGTATGACTTTGTAAACTACAATTCAGAACACTGCATTAAAGAATATTTTTAGAATACTCAGCTATGCCTTTTATGTTACTGTGTTTTTATGTTGTTGTAATATCAACATCCTAGCACATCAGCCCAATCCATTGGTGCTCCATCTTCCGATGCAACAGTCATCTTGGTCATTGTCTCCATGCTCAACATACCCAGTAGGAGTTGACTGGCAAATCTTTCCTCGCCCCACAACTGGTTTCTGCATGTTCTCGTTTAATACTCTTTTCCAATAGGTTTTTCGTCTCTGAAATGCAACACATTCAGTATGTCTGCCCTGTCCATACTTCTTCCTCCACCGAACAGTTCAGACATGGCCAGTCTGTTGGCTGTTTCCTTTCCTTTCACCTTGGCGTATCCCAGGTTTTACATCTAAGATTGTAGAGGCGAGACTTCTGGGTGCTGTCAACCCGTTCTAGTTGGAGTTAGCCAGTTTGGGTATTCTTAAGCATGCTGACTGAGTCCATCACTACTTTTTAGTGGGATCTTGCTATTTGTGAAATTAGCGCAAAAGTTTAAAGGCCAGGTGAAAGAAAGATTTTTTTAAAAATTATACAACCGCATTTTTGGGCTGTTTGTTTGCCGTTAAATTCTGAATGGTCAGCTTATGATACCACTGTTGAAATCAGCACCATGACACCGCTCCTTTGCCATAATTGTTCATTTCCACCTCTATATAAAGTCATAGCACCATATGCCATGACTCCTCAATGACCACTAAAACTCCTTATGTAACTAGCTGACATAACAACTTGACCTCCTTACTGATTACTAGCACCTAACACCTTGACATGACACCAGTTCCTTTCCTACAAGTTTTCATATCTGTGCTATATAAAGTCATAGCACCATATACACATGAGGACCAGTTGACCTCTAAAACCCTCATGTCACTAGCTGACACGACAACTTGAACCCTCACCGAGCCACCGGCACCTAACACTATGACATGACACCCTCTATTTAGCCATTTTTTTCATTTCACTCTATAAAATCATAGCACCATATGCCCAGGAGATTCTAATGATCTGTGCCCCCTCTAAGGCATAGCTGTTTTTGACTGCATATTGTCGCCTAGCTGTATACTAACATAACCACAGCTCATCAGCACACAGCTGATGCCAGAATAGACCCTTGAGAGACATGATCCCCTCCACCTGTCGGTATGACACTTGATAATGATGATGATGATTTTTGCCCTCAAACCATATTTTACTATATATACTCAAGCCTTCATATGGTCACCAGAGGGTAAAAGAAAACAGGGAAGACCAAAAGAAACTCTCCGTAGAACCATCACAAGGGAGAGCTCAACCATAGGTCTCAGTCGCACTCAAGACCTACATCAAGTGGCAACGAACCGACAGACGTGGAAAGCTATGACCTCTGCCCTATGCGCCATCTTTGGCACAAGAGGAATAACTAACTAACTAACTCTACCTCTCCACCAACCCAATCAATACCCCTCTCTTCCTTTATTACAATATATAGCTTTCATAAGTCTAGTGTCCTATCACTCTATTCTATCACTTTGATATATTTATAAATACTTTCTATCATCCACCTCCAAGCCACAATAACCCTAGTTTTCTTTATTCTACTATGAAACCCCTAAAACAGCCCCCGCACTTCTCGACCTGCTCACCGCCGCCTATAAAACCCTCGGAGCCTCAACTCTGTCTGCCCTACCACGAGGCCTTTCAAGAGCCTAGTCCGAGACGCCAGGTGACCTCAACCCATCCGAACCTCCCTCTGACCCGAAGCTGACCTATGACCGAGCCACCGAGTGACTTATGTTTCTGATCTAAAGATGCCGTCAGACTGTTACGCCGCCGCTTTTGAAAAAGGGTAAGGTGGAGGTTTTCAAGCGCTGTGCTGCAGAGGCCAAAAGAGCAAAGTGGGAAACTTTTGTGAATGGTATGGGAGGCGATAAAACATTGGGGAAATTCTGGAAACTGCGAAGGCAGATGCAAAGAAAAGATCAGCCTATGACAGTGGGAACAATTTGTAGAGACGATGGTGTGCGTGTGACCAACAGACAAGGAGAAAGAGGAGGGTTTTCTTCATAGGTTTATAGCTCAGACAGATCATAATGATGTAGACATCAGGGATGTAGTTAGGGAGGAGTTAGCTAGCACCTTAAAGACTATACATTATGAAGACTTGATACAAGTGGAAGATATCAAACAAATTTTGAAAAAGGAACAAGACTCTGCACCAGGGCCTGATGGGGTCAGGTTTGGCCACATGAAGGCTTTGAGCGATGTAGACCTGGCAGAGATGAACTGACTACTTTAATCAGAGCATTAGAACAGCATCAGTACCGCAATTTTGGGTGCACAGCTATCTAATCATACTGCCAAAACCTTTCAATGATCATTCAAAGCTCACGGTTTTAGAATAATCACCTTACAAAACACATTTGGGAAGGTCTTGGAGAAGATAGTTGCTGTAAAACTGCAAGAACTTTTGGAAAGGGAGAAGCTTCTCTCAAGAGGTCTGGGAAGTTACAGGCCAGGAAATAACACATGGGCAAATGCAGCCACCTTTGCTTTTGACGTCTATGAAGGGTTCCAGAACAGACAGGAAAACTAAACTATGGCCGCAGCACTGGATCTCGAGGATGCTTATAACAGAGTAAGATATGACATCTTGATGACTGCACTGAAGGAGAAGAAGGTCAGTCCATGGCTGGTGAATTGGGTTGCAGCTGTTCTGTATTCGGGTTGCTCTCCGACTGGGCTCATGGACCTCAGAACCATGCAGTTTGGCACCAGGACAGCCACAGGGGTCCGCCATCTCGCCTGTGCTCTTTAACGTGTATCAGGCAAGATTGCAAGCTTAGAAGCACCAGGAGTTGGAAATATAATGACTTTTGTGGATGATATACTTGCATATGGGCAGGGGGAAGAGAGGGAACAAACAGCCCGGGAGCTACAAGCGATATTAGACAAAGTGAATGAGTGGTGTACATAAATTAGGGCGTGAAAAGGCGGCCATGCGGGTCATTCTGGGTTGCACCAGAGACACCCCATTGGTGTGTATGCGATACATCTTTGGTTTGCCGACTGTTGCAGGTAGGCAGAAGGTGCTGCAGGCGAAGTCATATCTAAAGGTAGCTGCAGACACAGACCACCCTTTGCACGAAGCTCTGGGCGCAGTTGAGGGACAGCGGCTGACAAAAGGGAATTCATGGATGGCTCAGGCAGAAGAAACAATCAGACAGGTTTGCATCCCTGAGAACATTAGGCGAAGAGAGGAGTGGGCCAAAGTGCCACCTGAACAGTCAGACTTGTGCAGGGTTACAATCACGCTGAGCCGGGAATGCAGAGACTGGCCAGCAGGTGCCACGGAGGTGGAAATTCAGCAATTAATTCAAGATAATGCTCGTTCAGATGATTTGATCATTTACACAGACGATTCAGTGTCAAGAGGCAAAAGAAGTGCTTGGGGCTTCTTAGCAAAAGTTAATGGTCGACGTTTGGTGCAGGAGAGCCTAATATATGATACCACAACATACAGCTTAAGAATGAAGGGTGGAGGCGGTCACTGCAGCTTTCCGCTGGATTGAGAACACGACACACGCACACACACACACGTAAACACACACATCGGGATTGTAACTGACTCAGAAAGCATGCTGAGGAAGGTCAGGACAGGCATGCTTCGTGCAGAGTATCATGCTTCACTGCCGAGGACACGGGTGAGGAGTATTGATTGGATTTTTTCTCTGGAATACGCCGGTTTGTTGGGAAATGAACAGGCGGACAGACTTGCTGGCTATGCACAACTTGGTGGAATAATGATGCATGATAAGGCAGACGTGGTTAGTGCCTTGTGGTAGAGCGTGTACAGTTCGGAGGAGCAGATGGATGACCATAGTCTGGTGAAATTGATACAGTGGGATGTGACCAGGGGTTCTGGCAGATGCTCGAAGCTCAGAGGAAAGCCAAGACTGACGTTTAAATCAGAATGCTACTGGCACCATTAGTATCTTAACTCTGTGCTGGCTGCTGAAGATGGGGAAGGAGCACTTATGGGAATGCCCCCGAGTGCTGTGATGTCGGTTCTTGAATCAAATCAATTAAATAGATGAAGATGGTCTCCAAATTTAACAATGCAGGCGAAAAATGATAGTCATTATATTGTGTAGTCTATCTTTGTATTTTTGAACAGCCTTAAAAGTCTATGGTTAAGCACCAGCAAGGAGATAAAAATTAGAATTTTGAGAGCATGCATCTTTCCTGTGGCTACATACGGATGTGAGTCGTGGACTATCTCTCAGTCCTTAAGAAAGAGAATAGGGGCTTTTGAGCTGAAATGCTATAGAAAGATTCTCAGAATATCTTTGACAAAGCAGATGAGAAATAGTGACATTGTTAAAAGATCGTGAACATCAAGGAAGAGGCCAATAAACAGCATCCTTAGTCGAAAGCTGAGATTTTTGGTCATATCAAGCGTCACGACGGATGGGTAAAAATTATAGCAGAAGGCATCGTACCAGGAAAGAGGGGCAAGGCCGACCGACACGAACGTTTACATCAGTGACTCCTTGAGTGTGAAAGTTCTTGAGGCAGGAGAACTGGCAAGAGACCGAGTTTCTTACAGACAGACTGTGATGAGAGCGACGTTCTGCAAAGGACCTGCTACATGATGATGATTATCTTTGTATTTATTTACTGTTCAAACAAAGAAATGCATATTTATTACATAACGTTCCTTTCAGTAGCTATACGCACGTCCGGCTGTATATTTATATCTAGAGTTGGCCGTGCTATACATAAGCGTCATCGGATATCTATAATTGTAATTTTTTTTTTAAACGGTATAGTTACATGTTTAGCCTTAAAAATTCAATGGTTAAGCACCAGCTGTACGCCGAGATATAAAATTAGAAATTTAAGAGAGCATGCATCTTTCCTGATGCCCTAAACACGGTGGTCATGAAATACCAGAAATTCGTGGACTATACTATTACTATCAACTTCACAAAAGAGAATTAGGGGCTTATTGACCTCACTCCAAAGAAATAGTGAAAATCATAACTTATTTCTTAACATATCTTGGACAAAGAATGCATGAAAAAAATTGACATTTTAAAAATATATGAACATCAAGGAAAGATTGGAAGTGGTAAAAAGCATATCTTGGGAAACTGGTTACCAATAATGGTGACACAATGAAGGAAATCGACGGCGACTGGAAATTGCTCTTATAGCACTAAAACATGAATACCAGGAAGGAATTGTACAGATAGAATTACACCGGTCACGATTTTTATGGCATGCATCTTTAAGTGCACATACCTTGTGAGACCTGGACACTTACTAAACAAGAGGCGGGCGCAAAATGCATTTGAGACCGAATGTTACAGACAGGTTCTAAGACTGTGATGGGAGCGACGTTCTGCAAATGCACCATACTACATGAGCTGAATATTGATGAGGTTGTATTTAGTAACTGTTCAACAAAGAAAATTGAAATATTTTGCACTATTTCTATTAGAACAATAATGGAGGGGTATATGCCTTTCAAGAGAGGAATACGCACGCCAAGCTGAATATTTATATCTAGGATGTGGCCGTGATCTCCAGATAAGCGTATCATCGGATAACATCTTGCTCATGATTGTAATTTTTTTTTTTAAACGGTATAGTTACATGTTTATGTTGTGCAATTGGCAATGGAGTAATTTGGCCGAGTTTACCAGCCTGCAACAGCGACCTGGCACAGCAGATTGTGCGAAATTTGAACAGACGACGCCTGTGCAGGGCAGATGTTGGCGATACGGAGCCCTCTTTTTCTGGATTTGTTTGTTTAATTGTCGTCTATGTGGTAAAAATGTGTCTAATTCTTGGATTATTCATCGGGAGTTACATTGCCTGCTGAATTGTTTCTTTCAAGGACGTGAATTTGTCGTAAGTAGAACCAGAGTTACTGTGAGCGGAATCTTAAAAAAGGAGAGGGACGACCCTGGGCCCGGAGTAAGGTTTCACTAGTTTCAGGTTTAGTATCATTCATGCAGAAGAAAACATTTTAGGTTTTAGTAATGAACTTACTTAAATTCTTTGGGTCCTGTACCAAACTGTTTTTATTTTAAAACTTCAGCTTGTTCTTTGATGATATCCTATTGTTTACAGTTTAATTATGAATTATGTTATTATGTCTCCAAACAGTACACAGTGATTTTATTTTTAGTGAGGGGACCTTCTTTCGATCTTCGAACAACAACGACTACTTTACTACTTACACTATCCTAAGGGAACGCAATCTGCTGACTGACTGTTTACGGCGACCTTACGGAAGACAATCCATCGTTTGTGTACGCTCACATAATGATGTGCCGTAATATTTAATATTGCTTCAGTTTAGGATAAGGGTTAGCTCTAACTCTAACCCCAACCATAATCTTAATCTCTTCGACTTAGTATATGTGAGTAGCATAAAGGTATTTGGGCCGTCCTTTGAATCAACCCCCAAAATGGCGGCTCTAATATGATGGCGTTCAAAAGAGACCTACATTGGCCAATTTCTTGCCATAAAATATCCGAATGCTGGTCAGTTCTATTAAAAATATATGTGCCGGCTCCGGATAACGAAGCAAATGCTCTGACAGGGTCTCGGCGATACGCTACTTGCCGACCTGCTTCTGCGAGTGCCTCACCGCTGAGCGTATCCCCCGCGCCGTTACGCGCGGGGGATACGCCCGGCAGTGAGGCACACTCGCAGAAGCAGGTCGGCAAGTAGCGTATTGCCGAGACCCTGTCAGAGCATTTGTATCTTCTGCTACTACTACCATGTGCAATATTCATATTGTCAAGTAATCCTAGTTTTGCTGCGATTTGTTCCTTGGCAGAAAGTCCGTATTTAAGATACATGCGAACACCGTCGTTCGGATATTTTTGGATATTTTATGGCCAGAATGTGGCATGCCGCCATTTTGGAGGTTGATTCAAAGGAGAGCCGGTATTTGCAATTGAATCCTGTCCTCTGTGTATGTTCTGGGACCCCATTTTGGGCCGAAAGGAATAGACTACTGCCCTAACTCTAACATGCATGTGGTAAAAATTGACTTATTAGAGGCGTTTCCTTAAAAGCTATAGCGCATCTGCCTGAAAGGAGAGGAACCAACAGTCTGCATTCAAATAAGCCAGATCTGTAAATCGGACATGCACATAGAACTCAACTTCTGGAACAAGATCAAAGTCCATAAGTACATGATCAACTGAAACTTTCTACTTGAGTTTACTGCCGGTGAATGCAAAAAAAAAAAAAAAAATACCCATGTATTTCCTTTCATAAGATTAATTTTACCAATAGTATTATAATCCGTTTTAGAGATTCCTCAGTACATACTTGTGTCTTTTGTGTCTCCGCTAGGTACAGAGATAGGACAGCTCAGAAACCAGTGTCATCATGAGCTGGGCAGCAGATGAGTGGAAGGATGGACTGCCCCAGAAAGCTCTGTCAAAGATCACTGAGATAGAAGCGCAGCTGGAGCGGCTGAAGAAGGAACGAGACCAGAAACAGTTCCAGGTGGAGAGTTTGGAACAGGTAATCTTGGTCAGGTGCCTGGCCTGGTGCAGGCAGAGGAAATCCTGGCTGCCTAGTAGTCTCTTTCATCTGATATTTTGAGGTCATCATTATATTGTATTACGAGGGGATGTCAATAACTAGGTCACAAATCGGTTATGGGATGGCAGGAAAATGTAATTGGTGGTTTCTAAAGGTGTTATTAGGTGACAGCAACATCGAACTTTATGTCTCCGCTCGTTAGGTGGCGCTAGGTGTTGCATGTACATTTGCAACACAGAAACAAAATTGCGACTGTACTTACGGAGTGTACCCTCAAAGAACAGCGTGCTATTCTGCATTTTTTTCTTTTGGGTAAAAAGGCTGCCTGCAAAGGACATTTTTAAGGAAAGGCTTCCTGTTTATGCTGACAAATGTTTATCCCGTAAAGCTGTACATAGCTGGGTGAAAAAAGTTCTTTCTCAAGGGCGCTCTAAAATTGTTGATAAAGCTCAGTTTGGTCATCCTGTTGAGATTGCAACAGGCGCATGCATGCGGCGGGTGGAGGAGATGATTAGAGGTGACAGGTAACGGTTGACTCTGTAGCAGCTGCAATAGGGTGCTCACATGGTTCACCATACAACATAATGCAATTTTGATTGAAATTTAAGAAAGTGTGCTCACAGTTGCTACCCATACAATTAATACACAAACACAAAATACACTGATTAGGCCTGACCCTGTCGCATCTCTGTTGATACGCAGATGAAGAAGAAGACATGCTGAACATGATTATTACTGGGGATGAATCATGGGTGCATCACTACTAGTCCGAATCAAAACGTGCTTCATTGCAATGGAAACATCCTTCTTCACCTTGTGTTAACAAATTCAATGTATGTCAGGATAGGTTATGCTGACAGTGTTTTGAGATTGTCAAGGAGCACTTTTTAATAAATAAAAAAAAAAAAAGATGTGACAATATGCATGCTGATTCATACTGTAAAGTTCTATCGATGCTCCGAAGAAACGTCCAGGTCTGCTGGCTAGAGGAGCATTGCTCCATCATGACAATGCCAGACCACGTACGGCTCTGTTAATTCAGGAGAAAATTAACCATCTAGGATGGGAACTTCTGGAACATCCCCCATACAGCCTTGGCTTAGCCCGTAGCGATTTCCACATTTTTGGTCCACAAAGGACCCACTTCGGTGGGAGACATTTGGCAAATAATGCAGAAGTTGAATGTGGAGCGAAAATGTGGTTTCAAAAACAGAGCATGCAGTTCTGGGCAGCAAGTTTGAGGAGACTGATGAAACGATGGGACAAGTGCATCAATGTTGGTAGAAATTATGTTAAAAAATAAAGGGACAGTATCTGTAAAAATAAATGGTTTTCAAGTTATCATCTTTACTTTATTTTTTTTTTTTTTTAAACAAACCAGTTGATATTTACCTATTGACCTTCCCTAAATGTTGCCACCTGTTTAGCTTTCTAGTTGTCTTTCTCTGTCTTCCTCTGCAAATTTTTTTTAAACCTATGTAAAGACAGCTTAAGGCAATCTCAGATGTGGCGAATTTCTCTTGTGCAGAACAATTTGTTTGATGTTCATGCTTGAACTCATATCTGTATAAGAGGAATTTCTGATCAGAACCATTTCTTGGGTCCCCAGCGAGTTCTCCTTATCAGGTCTGCACTGTACTTATTGTATCATTGACATCATTTCTTTTATGTTAGGGTCTGTGGCTTAGGCATTGCAAACATGCTTCGTAATTCTGAGACACTGGGTTCGATTCCAGCTTTGGATGATTTGGCAACTGATCCCCGTTGCCTGAGTATTGACAGTGGAATCAAGAGCCGACTGCACAGTAAGCAATGGCAAACTACACATGAATGTCAATGCTTATCTTCAGGGCTCAAGATGATGATGACTAATTAGCTAGACTGTTTCACTATGCTGCCATTTGTAGAAAAAACATTTGTTGTTCTCAGTAATTCATCGCTGAAAGGTAGCCAGGGATGACTACACATTTTTTAAAATTGGCTTTATTAAATCCCAACAGGCGCTGGCAGTTAAGAAACGCAAAGGAACCAATGAAAACTCAGAGATAGCCAGGCTGGAGAGGGAAAACCAGACTCTGGTGGAGACATGCAAGCAGCTCGAGCTAAAGAGAGAGAGTCTGATTAGTGACCTGGAGCTAAAGGAGGGGAGGATTGCTGAACTCAGCAGTACTGTCTCTGGAAAGGTAGAGTGCCTATGTTAAATGGTTTTTCTTCTTGAGAGGTTTGTTTTGGGTCAGGCATTTGTAGTCTTGACTCTCCAGTTCTGTTCTGTCTGTCATCTAATATTTTAAAGACGCTGTTCTTCATTTCTTACTCAGTCATAGAGGCAAAAGTAGGAGCTTTTGAACTGAATGCTACAGAAATATTCTTGGAATACCATGGACCAAATATAGACATCCTGCATGATCTGAGCATTGAGGAGAATTGGCTCATAAACAGCATCCTGTCTTGAAAGCTGGGGTATTTGGCCTGTTTAGCATCATGGTGGCTTGTAAGGAGAGCGGTGTTAGAAGGTAAAGTTTCACGAAGATGACTCAGAGGCAGACCTCGGTGAGGGTGGATACAAACAGTCAAGATTCATTGGCTATGAAAGCACATAGTGCTGGAGAATTGTCTAGTGAAAGAGACTTTCAAAGAGATATTCAGATTTAGACTGATGTTCTTTATCTGATTCTTCTCTTCTGTCAGTTACATCTGGTAATCTTAGTTCCAGCTTCATAGCAAACGAGTCACCCCATAGTTGCTCCGCTCCTGTGCAAATGAAAAGCATACAGAATGTTAATCACAGTCCCTTGTGGAAAGATCGACAGACTGCTCTCAGCATATGCACTAGCATTCACACGCATTAAAAGCATTCGGTAGCCATCAGAAGTGCTAACACAAACAGTCCGACATTAGAAATGCAGTTCATCATCGATGGCAGCAGAAGTTACCAACACATCAGCAGTTGCACACTCGATCAATATTAATCACATAAGGGCACCACCAATATTGCGGCAACAGGTCACATGCCATTTTCTGAATCTACAGTTCACAACACCACGTTGGTCACAGTCAAAAAACATTCCAAATGAAATCCGCAGCTCACAGGGCCGCGCCATGCACTCAACTCTGTAGCGGGTGCGACGAAACTATATCCTTTCAGTCTACAAATGGATCAAAAATGCAACGGCCACCGTCTGGCAGAAGCAAAAATATTTACC